TCTATCTGAGAGTAGAATAACTTCTGAGTAAATCTACAAGCAATTCTCTTTTATTTCACCCCCTACATTTAGAGCAGGCCAGTATGCAGAATCTTGAGGGGAAAAAGGACTTATTTTTGTATGTATAAAGCACCTTGCAAAAAAAATACACTGCAGGAATGGAGCAGCAAAATAAACCACCTTTGGTTTTTGAGGCCAGGAGGCTCCCTCTTGTGGTAAATACATAAGGCTTTTTTGTTTGCCACCTGCTCTTATCTGTGAGTTTTTTTAAGAACAGAAAACATGACTTCACAGAATAACTTCTGAGTAAATCTACAAGCAATTCTCTTTTATTTCACCCCCTACATTTAGAGCAGGCCAGTATGCAGAATCTTGAGGGGAAAAAGGACTTATTTTTGTATGTATAAAGCACCTTGCAAAAAAAATACACTGCAGGAATGGAGCAGCAAAATAAACCACCTTTGGTTTTTGAGGCCAGGAGGCTCCCTCTTGTGGTAAATACATAAGGCTTTTTTTGTATGCTGCCTGCTCTTACCTGTGAGGTTTTTTAAGAACAGAACACGACTTCACAGCCAAAGCAGTACAAAAGGTGCTCATGGCAGTGGCATGGATTTTTTAAGTCAAGTGAAGCAGTAAACTATAGGTGACCCACCTCAAAAAAAATGAAGATTATGTTGCTAATATTTGATCTGGAGCTATTGCAAACCTGCACTGTCCCTTTCAGGTCACTGTAGGCAGCATCAGAGCATTTCTGCCTAGGAATATAGGCCAAAAATTGTGACTTCAGATGTGGGTTATTAAGACAAAATCTTAAGGCTATCTTAACATTTTGATGTTAAGGCTTAGTTCAAGTTAGAGCCAAGTAAGTAAGAATGTTATACCTTCATATGTAGTGTTAGCATAAGGAATAGATATTTATTGTGATTACAGAACAGTAAATATGTTATTACAGAAAAGTCTTAAAGCCTGCACTTAGGTAACACAACATACAGAAAGGTTTTTGACATCTTGAGGTATGTAAGTGGAGCATCTTGCAGCTATTTGTCCTGCTGCAGACATCAGGCAGATTCCTGAAAGTTATTCACAAGGAATATCAGCAATAAAAGATTTACAGAATTGGCAGCTTGATGGACTAATTTCTTTCCTCTCATATTAGTTACAGAGGCAAAACTGTACCCTTAAAATTAGAAATGAGGTATACTGATGTCTTTTTAGTGCAAACCTCAATTGTCCATAATTTCTTTGCATGTTTAAGGTGCTGTGTTGCTAAATTTCATTGTAGTTACACCAGAAAGCAAGAAGAGCTGGAAGCATGTGTTCATTGTACTTGCTGGCCTTGTACTCACCTGATGTTCAGTGGAGAATTATGTACACAGTGGTGTATTCTGATAAATATATAAATGTAAAAACACAGGAATCTTCTTAGAGGGATGGGAGGCTATCCAGAGGGACCTGGATAGGCTGGAGAGGTGGACCCAGATGAATCTTATGAGGTTCAACGAGGCCAACTTCAGGCTCCTGCATCTGGGCCAGGGTAACCAGCACTGCCAGTATGGGCTGGGAGAGGTTTACTGGAGAGTAGTCCTGTGGAAAGAGACTTGGAAGTGCTGGTAAAAACTGGAATTGAGCCACCAGTGTGCAGTGACAGTCCAGAAAGCCAATCCCAACCTGGGCTGGATCCAGAGCAGCATGGCCAGCAGATGGAGAGAGGTGATCCTGCCCCTCTGCTCTGCCTGGTGAGACCTCACCTGGAGTCTGTGTCCAGCTCTGGAGCCCCCAGCACAAGAAGGATGTGGAGCTGTTGTAGTCTCTTCAGCAGAGAGCCCCAAAAATGATCAGAGGTTGGAGCAGCTCTGCTGTGAGGACAGGCTGAGGGAGTTTGGGTTGTTCAGCCTGGAGAAGAGAAGGCTGTGGGGGGACTTCATAGTGACCTTCCAGTACCTGAAGGGGCCTTAATGAAGGTGGGGGAAGGTCTACTCAAAAGGGTTTGTAATGATAGGACAAGCAGTAATGGTTTTAAACTAGGAAAGGATAGATTTAAATTTGATATTAGAAAAAAATTCTTTAATATAAGAGCGATAGATCACTGGAATGGGCTGCCCAGAGAGGTAGTGGAGGCCCCAACCCTGGAGTCATTCAAGATCAGGTTTGATAGGGCCCTGGGTGATCTGACCTAGGTAGAGATGTCCCTGCTTGTGTAGGGAGGTTGGACCAGATGACCTCTAGAGGTCCTTTCCAGCCTAAAACTTTCTATGATTCTATTATTCTGTGATTCCCACACGACTTTCCTGTGTCCCATCAAATCCACATAATGGATGGTGCCCTGATGCACTGCTCTCTGTTGCCTCAACATCTCATTAGTTAATACTGTTGTGGGGTTGTTTTCCTCTATTTCTGCCTCTTCTTCATTCATCCCTAACAATGAAGGAAAGGAAATAAAAAGAAAGCTCACAGAAATCAGAGGAGAGGTGAATGAGTTTATCTGACTATCTTGGCACACTGGAGTTATACAGAAGCAAAAAAGGTTTAAAGGAAAATTTATTGTATACTTTTTGATGTGACCAAAGGAGAAGCTTCCTGCTGTGAGAGCTTTGTGTGTAGAGGTTAATGGCAATATAGAGCTGCCTCAACTCTTCAAATTACATGTTGGTAAGGTTCAAATGGAGTTTTTTCAACAAAAAAAAACCCACCTAAACAATATTGTATTGTCTGCAAACAATACAGAGACTGAGCCTTGAATAAGTTTGAAAATACAGAAGGATCAAGTTTCAGGGTTTGTGAAAGTAAAGAAGTTTGTAAGCAATGGACTGGTGATAGACAGCTGTGTTAACCCTCACACAGCACATCCCATGTGAACAGAGGTGGGTCAGGCTTTCTCACATCACTTACATCTGTGCAAAGTGGAGGCACAGGAGGATAAAATCCTGAGAGAAAACTTGCTTTCTAAGTGGGAAGAGGGAGCTGCAAGGAAACTCTGGACTAGCCATGCTGACAGAGAA